AAAATAAAATGGCTAGTATTTATAGGTATATATTATGGTACAGTTTTTTGTACAGAACAGATTCCGAGCAAAACTCTCACCCAGTTAGTCTTGGATCTAATTAAGTAAACGAATCATGCAGGAAAGAAGATCTGCTAATATGACTAATAAACAGAGGCTACTGATGTGGGATCATCGATCTAAATGAATTTTTTTATGACTATTTTATTACTAGGTCCAAAAATAATAGAGACCTGTCTGAGCTTTCTTTCCAGTAGTGCCTAGGAGCCGACTCAAAAATCAAGTAATTTAAATACATATTTAACATGTGTTTCTGCGTTGTTGTACATTTATTCCAAGGCTATTGTATATCAATCGATTCATTTTTTACCTAGGAAAATGAAATAATATGTAAGATCGTGGTGATTGAAATTGGATATGTGAAAATTTAGAAAAATCAAAAGATGCTTCCAGGAAAAACGTTTTGTTGAAGAAAACAATGCTAAAATTCTGGCGATACCTAGAAAAGTGTTAGAGAATTTTCTGAGCGTTCTTGTCAATGGAGCTCTTTGGGTTGAGGAAAAATCAGAAATTTGAGTACTAAATAGTATTACTTTGACAGTTGACAGGAACGAACAATTCAGGAACGAAACTCAATACATACAACAACAACAAAAGCCATGTCTCGTAAGTGCTTTTCTTTAATGCAGCTTTCTGTCTTTTCTGTGTGTATTTCAAGGTTTGTAAATATCGTCTATTTTTTACGCTGGATAGGAAAGTAATAAGTAGAATTTTACCAAATGTGATTAGATATATAAGAAGTTAATAAAATATAAAATAGCTTCCTGTAAAGAAGAAAAAACAATTTTTTAAACAAAACAACTCGTATTCGTTTTAGGTGACCTTTAAACCTCTAAAATACGAATTTTTATTGCATTTTGGGCTGGATTGGCGGGACCGATTTTCTTTCTCCCTGATGTCCGGAGTTCCACTTCAAATTTCATAAACCCTCTGGATTTATCCAAACCTACCGCTATTGGGAGCGTTCGAGAGATTAGGAGTGTTCACATTAAGCCATTATCAGTGAGAAGAATAAGTATAAAATCAACAACAAACTTTTTCTCAAGAGTATTATATATCAATTTATTCGTTTTTTTATGTACGGTAAAAAATAAAATGTAAGATCGTACTGAATAAAATTGGATATAAAAAGTTAGAAAAATCAAATAAAGCTTCCATTAATGTTGGCTAAAAGACTTTTTGTGATACATAGCAAGTCGCAAAATTTTAGAGAAGTGCCAGACCACTCTAGTCAATGGGCTCTCGGAACTGAGAGAATAAAAAAGCCCACAGAATTTTAAGTACTTAGTTATTCAGATATCGTGAGATGCGGTCGGGTGTGATGTAGGTTTCAGAAAAACATTTTCTCTATCGTGCCAACGTTTCGATCTTTTATTGAGATCATCTTCAGGGCCTGGGATTTACAAACAATGTTTACATTTAACAATTACATTTAGGATGTGGAAAAGTGAATTTATTCATTCACAAATTCACTTTTCCACACCCTAAATGTAATTGTTAAATGGAAACATTGTTTGTAAATCCCAGGCCCTGAAGATGATCTCAATAAAAGATCGAAACGTTGGCACGATAAAGAAAATGTTTTTCTGAAACCTACATCACACCCGACCGCATCTCACGATATCTGAATAACTATCAATTAACGGTCACTAATCTCTACACATTTAAGTACTTAGTTAGTGTATTACTCATTATTTTTTATTTATTTGTTTTCAAATTTAGGATTGGCCTCTTAGTCATATCACGTACGTCCTTTGATTTAATGTAAATTTCTGCCATTCCTGTTCGTGTATTTCAAAGTTTGTAAATATTATTCGACTTTCCTATTGTATGCAGGATAGGACAATAATAAGTAAGATTGAATTTAATGAGATTAGATATATATGATGCTATAAAAACCAAAAGATGCTTCCAGTAAAGTATGCCAAATCTCTTTTTTAAATAAAACAATTGTAATTAGTTTTAAAACCCAAACAACACCATAAAACAATTGACAATTTTGCCGGGATTAGCCGAAGTTTGCTTTTGCGATCCACCCAAAGCTATTGCAATAATTAAAAGTCTGCATTTATTTTCTTTGAGGTTGTATCAAAAACCTTCGTTTTTTTATGTTACACCAGACCGCATCTCACGATCTCCAAAATAACCATTAATTAACGGTCACTAAACACCACATCACACATTTTGCATAACGTTTCATGAGAGCGAAAAGTGTGGAATACTCTTAAGAAATAATAGCTTTTAGGTTGGCTTAGCTATTTTTGGAAAAACTAAAGTGTTACAGTATAGTCATATGGACAAATTTTATACCAGCCTCTTAGAATTTTAGTTTTTAAATTGTAATTAGCGGGTTCAGCCCATGTGCCTGTTTTATACAATGGTTTTATTGAAGGAGAGATGTAATTGTTGATGTATTTCTAGCTGTCATATCTACTTGTATGTAAATCAAACGGCTACATATTTTAATGTTGGAGTAGCAAATTTACGTACATTCGTAGGATTCGGGATTCATGGAAACTTGTACGAATTGAACTATGAAATAAGCAATTTTATTATATTTGTACATATATAATATTTTTGAGTCTGTAATTTGTCTTTGCAAAGGCACATGAATCCCTGATTTGACTTTGTGACTTACTCATGGCACATGAAGCAAAGCCTTCTCCACCCGGTCATCTGATTTCCACAAAATAAATCTGTACTTATAGAGGCCAGACTATTCTCATGACGCCTTCTGGTGACTTTTTTTAGGTCACCCCTACATTAGGGACCGTTTGGAGTTGATTACATATCAAGAAAGCCGTTAAATAAGAGTTCTACTCTTCCGTGGTGCTGTAAAAGCAATAGAACAATCGTCTCTACCCGTTGTACATCTCGGTGGACCACTACGTTCCCTTCGGTCGAGACTTCCGGTAGCCCTAACCGCTTAGACCATCGTGAATGATTAAACAAATTATAAAAGTCCGTCGTTGGCCGAAGGATCTCCCCGGGTGAGATCTCGACTTAAAAAGCATGCTATTAAGAAAAAATCAATAACTAGTAACTCAAATTTATTGTTTCATCAAAGCAAACAATAAAAACCATTGAACTCACTGGACTCAGGAAAGGATGAATTGAACTGATTATTTTATTTATTTTTAACGTAAAGGGAGTAAAAGTGTTAGTAACATTCTACAAAAGGTAAACAAGGTAAACAAGGTAAACAACAAGTTATTAATGATGTGGAACCATTAATCATTACCCAGTTATTATAGAAAATAAATAAATAAATACAAGTGTCCGTTTTTTCTTTCTTTTTTGAGTGTACAATAAATATAAAACAGGTCGTTTGTATATTTCAAATAAATTATCAGTTTTAAACTTCACCAGTCTCTCATATATTTAGTTTGTTATTTTTATACTTACTATACCTGTGATAGCCACGTGATCAATAATTACCGTGACCGAAATAACCCTGGAGCTCAACCCCGGCGGCTGGAAGGACAAGATCGAGACCCGAGGTGGGCGATCCTCGAGGCCTTTGAGCTTACATCACAATAAAAAAAAATTACATAAGATTTCTGATTACAGATTTATGTAAGCTCAAATCTACACACATGGACATACAGCCAGTACAGATTTAGCCTATCACTTCTTTCAGTCCACCGGCAAATTGTAATTTACAATAAACTACCGCAGGCCTCGAGAATCACCCATCCCTGGCCTAGGACTTGTCCGTCCAGCCGCCGGGATTGGGCTCCAGGGTCAGAAACAGCTAGGTAATTTAGGTCCCAAGGCAATCATTTCCTAAATCCACTCACACTATCACTTACCCTTAAATAAATTATTACTTATTTACGTGCCATTCTAAAAGTTAGAGTGGTGGAGTACTATACCCTCCCCCATCACCCCTATAATATAGCTAATTAATTGGGAGTCGATGGGTACCCAATATTCCGCCCTAGGTCCTCCCAAATTACATATTCATGTTAATAAATACATTTAGAATCAATTTACACGAAAAAACGTAAGACGAGATTTCTATTAGTTAGCGATAGGAACAGTCCTGTTTCCTCTAACTACACATTCACACCAATAAATACATTCAGTACTCGTACACGCTACGGTTGCAAAACTATCATTACTACATACAATAAAACAACCATGTTTCCTCCATGAATAGGAACAGGGGACCCGAATGCTGGAGCACATTTCTCATTTAGAGTGAGATTCCTACCCGCTATCTATCTGCATTCAAAGAGTGGCACACACATTCAATTAAATGGGGGACACCGAACAACTTTTCTCTACATGCTTGCTTGCTTTGGCCCAAAAATTGATGAATAATGATTAATCAACTTATGAATTTGCACGATTTTATTGCTATTGTCATTTTCAGAGGAATTGTTGATTTATTAACCTTCTGTTCCTCATGTGAGCCTAGAGAAATCGACCCTAATTTGGTCCGCGAAAAGTGGAAATTTTTCATTATTACTTTCAGCTGTGAGCAAATTAAAATAATTTATAGTCTACCCAACGCAATCAGCTCCTAAATCCATTCAACTTTAACTCACTCTTAAATAGATTCTTACTTATTTTTATATCATTCACTCAGTTAATGGAATAGACAATGTTCTTCTATAACTCTTTACACATATCACATTACTAACCTAATTGAGGGGCGATGGGGTACTGAATATTCCGCCCTCGCCCAGCTCAAACTACACATTTATGCTAATAAACACACTCTCAACACTCGTTATGGACGCAAATAGTACTTCTGATACACAAATAGAAAAGAGAGGCAAACTATACAATTTTATTGCTTGTATAAGAAAAAAAACCTTCACTTGACCCCTAGCATTTTATCCTCAATTGATTCATTTAAAATTTCTGCATTTATATATTGTACATGATTATCTATAATGTTATAATATATAATAAACGGATTTATCACTTACTTGAAAAAATACGTTCCGTTTGAATATCCAAAGAACGGCACCGTGTAGGTCAACATCCAAATGTTGCCACCACCACAGTCGTAATAAGGTTTGCTCCATTTCCCGTCTTCGTACACAACACTGAGAATTTCATCGGAGACACGTTCCGTGTGAGTGCTGTCATTCCAGGTGTAAGAGTGATAACCTGAAAACACAAAGGGTCAAAAATAAAGTTATGCATGGGCACTACATTTACACAATGTTAATTACTTGTACATTTAATTTTTACATACATATGGAAAAACTTATCATTATGACCATAAGATTCCAGAGAATTTTTTTCTACCATAACAGATATATCTTTTCGCCAAAGTCGGAAAACTCCAACTGATTTATTCGGTACGCTCATTCACATATATTGTGATCATAACCATTATAGAGAACCTGATACATGACATCTAGAGACTAGACTGTTCACACGAAGCCTTCTGATAACTATTTTAGAACTCACCCCTACATTAAGGAGTTGACTATCTATCAATGAAACCGTTAAATGACGGTTCCCTAATGCGGTAAGAGCAATAACACGATCGTTTCTAGACGTACATCTCGGTGGACTACAACGATCGACTAATCCTTTGTTCTCTTTATTTAAAAATGAAGGGAATCAGTTCAATTTCATCCTTACTGGATACGATACTCTTCGATCGAGACTTCCGGTGTCCCTAAACCGTGGATTGTGGAGCCCGGCACAGCCACGGTTTGGGCTATGGGACGCTAGGTCAGTCGTTGGTCAAAACATCTGACCGGGTGAGAAATGCCCGACTTAAAACCATGCTTAAAAAAAATCAATAATTAGTTACTCAAATTTATTGTTTCATTTATGAAAACAATTTAAAAACCAATTAACTCACTCGACAAGTGGGCCCAATAAGGATGAAATTGAACTGATTCCCTTCATTTTTAAATAAAGAGTACAAAGGATTAGTCGCACTCTATAATTGTAAAGTTTTCAAATTATTAATCTTTTGTTTACGCTTTAAGCCAACTATTAATCTTTATTGCTAGTTATTATGGAACAATAATAAATACAAGTGTTTGATGGTTTTTTTCTCTTTCAGTGTGTATCTAAAGTAATTTAATAACTCCAACATACACCTTACATAAATTTTCACTCAAAACTGTGAAAAAGATGAGCAAGAAAGACAGAAACCCCACGTTAAATATATTTAATTTATTTTTAGTTAAATAATTTAATTAAAAATATATTAATTTAACTTAATTAATTTTAAAGTATAATTAAGTTAATATATTTAATTTATATCAATGTTTTTTTTCAGCGCCTGTTTTTTTAACCTAGTATATATTTTGATCTAGTATCACCAGAAAAAAATTTCATTAACATCAGCGATCCCAAATCCGTAAACACTCCTTGTTAGTTCAAAATTTTATCAGTCACTGTGTTTATCAATAATAAATAGTAAACAATACTTAAATAATTGATGATATTACGTGATTATGTGAAAATTTTCTATTCATTCAATTCTATGGTTTTAAACCGTCTTAATATGGCTTATTAATCTGTTTGGTAATGCAAAAAATAATTTTAGTCCACTTGTTTACTTTAGCGATTAGTTTATGCCTGTGTAAAATAAATATGGATTTGTCTTTTTCGTTGGGCGGATGTGAAAGAGTCCTGTTTGTTTTTCCCGATGCTTTTGAGTTTCATGCTATTCTCTCAGAAATATGAAGTTTCTTTTGGGAATTTGTCTTTCCAATTACTGGTTAGCTAACTTCTTTCTTTGTCCCACCCTAATTGCAATTTGCACATTTAGTAGATGAATTGGCTTAATTTTCTTTCTCAAAACCTGGCGTTTCATCTAATTCTGGACCTTGTTTTTGTTAACATAGGCTTCAAATATCTGACATGAGAAAGTTGTTCTTTTACTTCATTTATTTGTATCTACAACTGTACATGTATTATATACAACCAGCAGATTGGATAATTAATGTTTGTGGCATTATGGGCGATATAGAGAAAGCTACCTATTGGCAGCGCTCTAGATTAATCAAAGAATATTAATCATTTAAGAGGTTTCTTATCCATATTCTTTTCAGACGTTTACGTGGTAATTGTGGGGAAAGGAGTAATAATCGGATTTGTGTGTTAGCGTGATTTTGTAATTCACTATGAAAACGTCTGTAATATGTTTTGATGGATGAAAAAACTGCCGGCATGTGAAGATCTCTGAGAAGTGTGTTATTGTTTACGTAAAAAAGGGCAGAATCAATTGGCCTTAAAATTTTGGAATGAACACTTTGTAATAATTGAATATTGGAATATTTGGCCAATCCATAAACTTGGCACCCACCAATAGGTTTGAATAGGTATGTGAATGTCGAAAGTTGGTTTGAATGGGAAAGTTGAATGTCTGTTGAGTAGGTTAAATTGTGTATTGAGTGTCTGTTTTACTAGTTCTGTGTGTGGATTCCACGTTAGTCCTCTTTCAAATGAAAGTCCTAAATAGTTAACTTTGTCGGATTGAGGAACAGGTTCATTGCATAGGTATATGCTAGGACAAGAGAAGCAAGGAAAGTAATATATTGTGACTTTGTGGGGGTAAACTTTATTTTGCAAAGATTGCTCCATTTTTCAATTTTGATATGTGACTTGGTAAAATAACTGAAGCTTGTGTAGAATAGGGTTGACGTGTTAATATGGCGGTTTCATCGCTTATGTGGCGGTAAGTGTATTCTCATTTGTGGGCATATCAAAAGTAAAAATTGTGTACAACAGTGGAGCGAGTATTGATCCTTGTCGCACACCTGCAAGCATTTCTTCCATCCCAGAAATCTCCGGACCGTGATTCACTGCGAATTGTATAATTGTTTAATCAGATAATAGGCCTGGGGTAAAAATAATTTTAATTTGTATAATAATCCCATTATTATAATAATAACAAAAACAGTAGCTCTGTGAAGTTCATGAGCGGTGGAATGATGGGTTCGAAAGCCAAATTAACTGGTAAGATGTCGTTTGAAGTAGCAATTTAGAAGGAACGGGTAACAAACTAATAGGACGATAAGATGATGGGGAGGTGGATTTTAATGTAAGAATGTTTCCATTGTCTGGGAATGTGTAGTTCTAAAAACTGCGTTAAATAAAGAAGTCAGAAAAACGACGGCGTTTTTTGGAAGTTGTTGAAGAACTTCAGCTGTTATCAAATCATGACCAAATGATTTTTTTATATCTTGTTTAGGAAGCTGTCGTATTTCGTGTGATACTTGTTTTGGATTTATTGGTTGGCAGATCTATTGGTATAGGTGTCTGATATAAATTTATCGTATGCAGTATCACATTAAGTTATGATTTGAATACCTCGGACAGATTTTTCTCAAATGTTTTGGACTTTTCTTTATCGGAACGGTCCAAGTTCCATCATCATTCCTGAAAGGAGCTGACACACCGCTATGACACACGGTAAGTTTAGTACTACGCCAGAGGCTCCCATCCTCTGTTAACAAGCTTTTTAAATCTGTTTCGTATGATTGTTGTTTAAATAGTTTCATTTCTTCTTTCAATGTATTCAAAAGTTTGTTGCAATTTTGTTTGTCAATGACTGATCTAGTACGTTGCCAAATGTTTCTACCCTTCTTTTTTTGGATATTAATTGCCTTATGTAGATAGGATAATTTGAAAAATTTTCGTTTTGAGTGTGAGGCTTTCCCATCCTGCATTTTGTACTGGTTTTGTAAATATTGTAACTGCGTTTTTTTAGTTCTCCTGGTGCTTTTACGCTAATTGGGGTGGACAGTTTTTCATCAAGCAAAGAACGATTTTTTTTTCAATTCATTGGTCCAGGAATTAGAGTAGGACGATTGTTTTTAATAAAACGTTTTAATTGCGGCAGTAAAGGACAGGTAGATCGTCAGATGATAAGTCGTTGGAGGTGTTTGTTTGAAAAGGAATATTATTTATTCCCTTACAAAAACAAAAATCCAGTAGATCCGGAGATATTTAGGTTGATGTTGGTAGATATGCGGGAGTGATTGATGTGATGTATTGCAAATGTGAGTTAATATTTCGGGTCGTAAAGCTCGACCTCTAGTAGAGCAAAGACGGAGCTCCACTGGATATGTTTAGCGTTGCAATCCCCTCCAGCCAGAAATGTTGGTCCCAGAAATGCGAAGAACTCCATAAACTGGTCACTTGAAATAGAGGGGCTAATACACCGCTGTATAACCAATTGTCTTTTTGAAGCAGTGTAGAGAAATGGAAGTACTCTGAAATTGTGGTGTTGTGTAAGGCGGTAGAACATAATGCAAAAGTGAAGATATTATAACCACAGCAGTGCTACCGTGAGGGGTGCCATCTGGGTAGTCAGTCCTATATATATAGTGCAGTCTGTAATGTAAAAACGAGATTTGGATGTTATGTGTGTTTCAGAGATCAAGGCAATATCGATGCGGTAAAAATTCAGTTCCAATTTACGTTGTGAGAGGTCATTTGCATTCCATAAAAGAATTGATAATGTGTCAAATGTAGGAGTATTAATTACCATATTGTGTTCTGAGAGCTTGGGTCATATGAGAGATCTGATGGAGTACATTGAAAAGATGATAGATAAGTGCGTTCATTTGTGTTAGGAAATGTTGGAGACCAGGCGGCATATCAACTAATGTTGTGCTAGTACCTTCCTCAGCCCGTTTATTCCGTTGGACTTGTTTGATTCTTCGTCATGTTGATGGTGGTAGGGATTCACTCTTCTTGTAAAAAAGCGAAGGGAAATTGATGTCATCTAGTTGTGATGGTTTCGATGTTGTACTTTTGGTCTTTCTTCGTTCTTGTCCATGTTCCTTGTTGTGCGTTTTGCTTGTAAGTTCTTGAAGAAATAGCAGCCTCTGTTCGCAGGGTGATCGCCTCCGCAGTTTGCGCATGTCGCATTAGTTAGTACAAGATCGTGTTGATCTCCACTATTTGTTACTCCTAGCTATTTTGATATCTACAATAGGTATTGCTGTACGCTTAAAAGGTTCTTCAATATTTATTTTTGTGTGCAATAACTTCTTGATATCATAGACTTTTTCATTGTATGTGTTAACGCGGACTGTATAAATTTTGAAGATTCAAAGAGGAATTGGAGCGCCCAAAATAAATAAAACAGGAAATTAAATTCAAATGTTGGATGACTCACCTCGTCCTCC